AAGCTTGCACATATTTCCCAAGAACACCCCTATTTAACATCATATGCATCTTTGACTACTTGGCTCATTCTTTTTCCAATGAAGTTTGCATCCCTTTTTTACTGAGTATTTGAGAATGGCTTCCTTGAATTGGACTGCATTCTCAAATTTTATTCCTATCTCAAAGTGTGGATAGTCATAGTTAGGGTCATAATGCAATGTACTACTTGCCCTTCTCATTGCATCATCCTTCACATTCAAGTCTTCTATGGAAGTATATAATACCTATTTATCTAACGTTTAAACCACATACTTGCCCCTGGAACTCAATGCATTAACAGCAACCACCATTCTAGTTCCTTCCCCATTGCGCCCTGTAATGTACTTGAACCAATTCCACCTTCTTTCCGTTGTACATTTCCTACTACAATGGAAACTTCTTCATCAACATTAAGTTGACCATGTTCAACATAAACATCACATATAGTTGATTTTGTTAACATTTTAGCAACCTCAATAACTTCAACTTCACCACAAAGAGGATACAGCTCATGTGCCACAAACAAATGTCAAACTCTACAATGCAGTCCCTTAAATGACTTAAAACCCAATTTTGTAACCTTGTCCTTAATATTCTTGTAGTACAACTATCCACATCATAAACTGATAATTCATAAGATTCACCCCCAATGTACTGTGACTTGTGAGCATCATATTGTTCATATAATGTATGCATATCTTAAAAGGTTCATCTCCACTCATAGTTGTGCTGTTCAAAATTTCAAAAGCAAAAAGGATTATTCAGACAATAACAGTAAATATTAACCAATTTATAAATTTTTACATGAATTATGACACAGAAACCTTAATAGCAATGATAAGGATAAACCCTAATAATGCAAATGATAAACTCAAATGTTAAGTAATCAAGTAATTAGAGATTTTAATATACCTACTAAACCCTAAATTACCATTCGTTAGTCATTTATTTTAGATTAATCAATAAAAAAAGAAGAAGAAGAAAAACACCCATAAAGCCCCATGTGTTTTACAAATCAAATAACAGTCAACGGAACTTTCTATCTCAAAAGGATGAAATCAAACTCAAGATTTGGGATTCAAAGATTTTTGAAGGCTTGTTTTCCTCTTGTGGTCCCTTCTATGTCCTGGAGAAGTAGACTTTCTTTATCAACTACCGCTTTCAACGTCTTTTTTGATTTCTCTTTTGATTCCTATGTGATAAAAAGGAATGGCAAGTCGTAAAGTAGCCTTGTTCACCTCACACGTTACACGTTAACCAACACTAATCGCGTGGAAAGTAGAACATTGCAAAACGTGTTATAGGTGTTAGAAACAATAGATAGAGAAATGGATGAAAGGTTGATTGTATTCTTTGCAGAGATTTCATTATGTATACAGTGCTGTGCTACTCGATTCCGTACATAATCCATAATCAATAATCAATAATCAATGCTATAATTAGAGATTACAAAATCAAAGCATAATTTCATGGAACAAATGATTTTCAACCTTTTTTTGACTTTTCGTAACATCTGATTGCTCATTCTTCTTGATTTCACATGTTTGATTGCGAGATCTCCGGAGTCTCCTTAATACTAGGGCGGGCCAATCCATCACCCAAACAATTTCCAAGAGCAATTAGGACACTTACCTCTTCCTTTTTTCATAATGCTATAGTTACAATATTATATAGAATTATAAGCAAAGTTATAATTATAATGTCATATAAGATCATAAAGTTGTAATCATAATATGACATTGAATAAATATGACATGATATTAAACAAATTGATATATACAATATCATTAATAGACTTTTGAATAAAGAGAATTAATTATATAACACTATATCATATTATAAACTAAGTTTATAATGTTAAATAGTATTGTAACTATAGAATTTTGGTTTTCTGTTTTTTAATTTCCATCATTTGCTTTTCCTTCTTTAGAATGTTTTAGTGCATGTATTGCTTTTGGGACTAATTAGAAATTTCCTTAATTGCCCAAAAACGATAAAGGTAGGAAAAAGATAAAAAAGCATTGTCGGGGAAAAGGTAAGTGATGAACAACTTATACATATCGAAAAGGTTCATGTAAAAATTAAATTAAATTATTTTATTTAATTAAAATTTAATTTAAAATTTAAAGATCTTTTTTATTAAATTTTGATATTTAAATTTTAAAATTGATTATATTAAAATATATAATCATTTTCAAATCATAGGTATTGACATTTAATAAAATCAATTTTTGAATTTTAAATTGAGAATTTGGTTTCTAGATATAGGTTAGCACTCTAATTTTCTTTAAAAGTAACAAATGACATGCACTAATCTCTACAAATCCCAATTTAAATTCAAAATCCACCTTATTAAATGTTAATAATTAGATTTAAAACTCGATTATATAATCAAATACAATTAGTTTTTAAATTAAGATATCAATATTTAATAAAATAAATTTTTGAATTTTAAATTGAGTTTTAATTAAATGAAATAATATCATTTAAAGTTGTAATTCGAATTTTTTTTAGAATCATTACTTTTTCATATATATATATATAAGGAAAAAAAGTAAATTAGTCTTGACTCTCAAAAAATTAGAGTATTAACCTTAAATTATATCGTTTTATTTAATTAAAATTTAATTTGAAATTTAAAAATTTATTTTATTAAATATTGATATTTA